CCCGTAGATTTATAAGGAATATTTTTTGAAGGATCTCCTGGGCTATTATCGTGAATTTTTAAAGAGTACTTAAAATAGAGTACTTGATATGAAAAAATTTTGAGACTTTTTAGACTAGTATAAAGCCAAACCTGTGGGACGGGACATAATTGCATATCATTCTTAAGGCTATATTTGAAAAAAGATACAACCTTTTTCTGGGTCTTTTAAAGATTAAATTTTCAAGGACTCGAGTTTTTTAAGAAGGTTTTTTTGAAACATCCACAGTGATTATGGGTTTGGGGATCTTCGCCCGTAGATTTATAAGGAATATCTTTTGAAGGACATACATGGTCATAGCCTTGGATTCTGAATACATTTTCAAGGACCTCTAAGGGCGTTATTGGAAATATTTTATATATATTTTAATTAAAAAAGGTTGTGAATTTTTAAGGACCAAAAGGACATTCCGGGCTATATTCTGGGTTCATAATCGTTGATTTTTAAGCTAATTTTTGTTAAGAACCTGCCGAGCAACAATGACGAATTTTTAGGAATATTTTTAAGGACCTTGTGGACAACAGTTGTGAATTTTTCCTGAATGATATGTTAGCTCGTAATCTTTATGGAATTATTTTTCAAAGGATCTCCAGGGCTATCCTGAATTTTAAAGAACGTTTTTGGAACGGCCTAGAGTACTTGAAATAAGAAGTTTCTGAGACCTTTTTTCAGTACCATTAAGGCTTATTCTAGTGTATTTTTAAGTCATTAGAAAAATTCAGGGCCATAATCGAGAAATTTTGAAGAATGATCTTGAAGAGCTAATCGGAACATAATCTTCATTCTTTTAAGAATACTTTTGGAAGGACCTGGATATATTCAATTGTCATTTTTTATACCCTCCATCGTACATAATATGGGGGAATATTAAGTTCCGTTTGTAACTTATCGAAATAATAATTTTAGACCTATCAAAATATAAATATTCTTGATCAGCGAAAAATTCTAAGACAGTTCAGCCCTGTCCGCCCATCTGTTGTAATCACACTACAGTCAAAACGAACTAAGATAGGAAGCTAAATTTTTGCAGAGATCAGTCTTTTGTCTGCAGGCAGGTCAAGTTCGAAGATGGGCTACATCGGGCCACGTTATCGTGTAGCCATATGGCGGTACCCGCCGATTTTCCGTATTTTGATGATTTTAGCCACATTTTGTAATGGAATTGTCTGAAATTCTACACATATAAATATAATATTGTAAGTGCGAGAGAGCTGTTATTAGGCATGTTTTTGAAGGAGCTAAAGGGTCAACATTTTGGATATTGGGAAATGCAAATGTGTTATCCTGAAAATTTTCTGAAAATTTAAGGTAAACTTCTATTGATCGGCCAACTACAATGGATGTGTTCGAAATCTCCTAATGAGGCCAATGGTCCTTCTAAAATGGGTTTAATGACTTATGGCCCGTACAAAGCCATGTTCAAGGGACAAGCATTTTTTTTTTTTTGTTTTTTTGAAAAGACCTCTAGAGTTTACGTTTAAGGTGCCCTGAAAGTCCTTCAAAATTACTTTCGAATGTCACATCGAAGGAACTATGGAAGTGATTCAAAATACTCCATAGAAATCTACCAGAATCTAAGGATAAGATCTTTAAAATAGGTAATATAAGTCCATCCCATGACCGAAAATATAAGTCCTTTACAATTACCTACAGAGTTCATGTCATAAATGACTTGGAAAAATGGATTTCTAAAGACATCCTTAAAGGTTCATCTTAGAGTAGAAGTTAGGAGAGCCATCAAAGTCCTTTTAAATAGCCAAAAATTTACGTTTGTGATCTAACTAAGCCCTAAAGGGCTTAAAGGGCTCTCTAAAAATTCACTCTAAAATCTATCGGTCCTTAAAAATCGGTCCATTTCAAAATCTATAATGGGACCCCTTGGTCCTTGAAAATATTATGTAAAAATGTACTTATTTCTTATTCTAGGACCTCATACATCCTTCGTTTAAAAATGATCTAAGTCCTTGAGAAATTAATGTTAGAATCTACTCTTAAAAGGCCTCCACACTCTTCATGTGTTGTTCGAATGTCCTTAATCGTCGAATGTCCTTCCAAAATATTTTTACAAAATTTTACTCCAAGAGAATCATTTTTTTTTTTTTTTGAATAATTTAGGGATTATTTATATGAAAGTCTACATTTATAAGTCCTTGAAAATGTATGCAAAAATTCTGGATAAAAAGAATATTTAGGTTATTCAAAAATTAGGATTTTCTAATCTCATATTTAGGGGCTTATCCAGGACCTTGAAAATTTCATTTAGAAATTCTTGTTCAAAGGTCGTCTAGAACCTTCAAAAGTAATTTTGAAATATAAATTTAGAGTTCCATATAAGTCCTCCGAGTATCATTAAAAAATCGTCACTTAGAAAGCCATCTTGGTCCTGCAACATTTATTAACAAGGACCTCTTTGATCCTTGAAAATTTTAAATTTAAAATCCAAGATTAAGGATCACCTATGTCCTTGAGAAATAAATCTTAAAAATACTCTTAAAAGGCCTCCATACCCTTCATGTGGAGTTCTGGTTCTCTATATAACCATCGAGAGTCATTCGAAAATTTTTAAAAATTTCTACTTGTTTATTTCGATTTTTTTTTTTTTTTGAAAAATTTCAAACAAGAATTGTTTTTTATACCCTCCACCACATGGAGGGTATATTAAGCTTGTTTGTTTAACGTTTCTAACACCTCGAAATATACATTTTAGACCCCACAAAGTATATATATTCTTTATCAGCATAAAATTCTATGTCGATTTAGCGATGTCCTTCCGTCTGTCCCTCTATCCGCCTGTCCGTCAGTGGAAATCACTATAGCTTCCGAACGAATTGAAGTAGATTGATAAAATTTTACCCAAATATATGCTATGTCTGCAGAACTTTTGGTATTGAAAATGGGCCATGTAGGCTCACGTTTTGGTATAGCCCCCATATAAGTGTTCCTCCCGATATTCGGTATTTTGTTGATTTTAGCGACATTAATAACCAGAATTCTTTCAAATTTGGTATTTGAAGTTCGTAATTGATACTACAGCCTAACACAGAAAATTGTCTGTGCAGATCCTCATCTTCGTATAGCCCCCATATAAGTGTACCTCCCGATATTCGGTACTTTGTTGATTTTAGCGACATTATTCACCGGAATTGTTTCAAATTTGGTATTTTATGTTCGAAGTGGATACTAAAGCCTATGACGGGAAATTGTCTGCGCAGGTCCACGTCTTCGTAAAGCTCCCATATAACGGTACCCCCGGATATTCGGTTCTTTGTTGATTGTAGCGACATTATTAACCGGAATTCTTTCAAATTTGGTATTTGATGTTCATAGTGGATACTAAAGCCTATGACGGAAAATTGTCTGCGCAGGTCCACGTCTTCGTATAGCCCCCATATAAGTGTATCTCGGGATATTCGGTTCTTTGTTGATTTTAGCGACACTATTCACCGGAAGTGTTTTAAATTTGGTATTTGATGTTCGTAGTGGATACTAAAGCCTATGACGGAAAATTGTCTGCGCAGGTCCACGTCTTCGTATAGCCTCCATATAAGTGTTCCTCCCGATATTCGGTATTTTGTTGAGTTTAGCCACATTATTCACCGGAATTGTTTCAAATTTGGTATTTGATATTCGTAGTGGATACTTAAGCCTATAACAGAAAATTGTCTGTGCAGATCTACTTCTTTGTATAGCCCCCATATAAGTGTTCCTACCGATATTCGGTATTTTGTTGAGTTTACCCACATTATTCACCGGAATTGTTTCAAATTTGGTATTTGAAGTTCGTAATGGATACGACAGCCTAACACAGAAAATTGTCTGTGCAGATCCTCATCTTCGTATAGCCCCCATATAACGGTATCTCCCGATATTCGGAATTTTGATGATTTGAGCTACATTATTCATCGGAATTGTTTCAAATTTGGTATTTGAAGTTCGAAATGGATACCAGAGCCTACGACAGAAGATTGTCTGTGCAGGTCCACGTCTTCGTATAGCTCCCATATAAGGGTACCTCCCGATATTAGGTATTTTGATACATTATTCACCGATTTTTTGTTTTTAAGTTTCGCATTTGAATATTGTAATGGCTTATGACAAAAGTTACCTATGCAGGTCCATGTCGTCGTATAGACCCTAATATAACAGCTATATTCGATATTTGTAAGATTTTAACAGAATTTTTAATGGATTTTATTGTTTTTTGAGAATTACCGAATTCGTTCCAAATGTCCACAATTCAAATTTCGGCCCGGCCGAACCAACAGCTTTTTTACTTGTTTTTTTTTTTTTTTGTTTTTGAAAATTCCATTTTGACATTTAAAATTTAATTCAATCTTTTTTTCATTCATTTGTGTTTGCAGATATTCGGCATTGAAGGGCCTTAAAAAGGATTCGCTTGCACAAAAACAACAATAAATAAGACGAGAAAGGAAGAGAAAGAGTTGGTAGTGAAAAAATCTAAAAAAAATAATCTGATAGCAGTTCCAAGCATCTGAAGCAGCAGGCGGCCAGCAACAACACTGACCACAAAAAAAAACCAAACCGCATTGGTCCTGCCAAAGGAGGCCTTAGAAAAATTACAATTTTCGCAATAATTCGGAGTGTTAAACACGTCGTGGTTGTCGTCGGTTACGCTCGATCTAGTCCTTGGTCGCCAGCCTAGTCCAAGTAGCGGTCGCTCGAAACCGTCATCGATATTACTCATTGCGGTCGTGTTCGTGGTCGTCGTCTTTATCGGATATTGGATATCGGAAATTGGAACGCCAAATCGTATCGAATTTGATTGTCTAAGTGTGAGTGTGTGTGTACGGGTGCGCGTGTGTCTGTGTGTCTCTCTTTCATTTCAAATGTTGTTGTCTGCTGGTAGCCACTGCAAACCGTAGCCGAATGCGAATCCAAATTACATGCAAAATAAATGGGTACAATGAGGCCAAATAAATACGATGTAAGTACGAAATAGATTTCAATTTTTTTTTTATTCATTCTTTTAAATTTTAAGTTCAACAACAACAACAACAACAAAAACTGAAAAAGAAAAAAAAAAAATGTTTCGAAATACACACCCACCTATGTATGTGTGTGTGTGTTTCCATGTATGTATGTGAGAGTGTAGTTTTGTAGGTCGACCCCACAAAGTCTATGGGTTTTGGGGTATTACATTTTGTGTGTGTGTGTGCTTTTCTGTGCTTCTTCTTCTATCTCTTATTGTCCTGTCTGTTATACCCATAAAACCACATGAGGTATTCGTAACATGGCGGGGGCTCAGAGGCGTAAAACGGAAACAGCTAAGCCACAACAACGCGACAGAAAGCCCTTCCAAAGGAAAAGAAGAAAAAAACAACAACCAAAAAATGACAAAAAAAAAAACCAAAGAAAAACCAACATCTGTGTTTGGCGAAAAAACACAGCACTAAAACGGATATGAAATGTTTCCTTTTTTGCCAAATGCACACTCACACCCATACTCACACCCCTTGAGAGCTCTACTCGAATCAGTGCCTTCGAATAACAACTGAACAACTCAATCATCATTCCAATGTGTCCTAAATGCCGTAATCGTCTTTTTTGTCATTTTTCTCTCGTTTTTAGTTTTCTTTTATTTCTTTTTTCTTGGTTGTTGTTATTATTTGTGTGGCAGTTTTTCTTTTTATTCCGGAAAAAAAGTGGATTTTCTCGCCTCAGTGTTTCCAGACTGTCTGTCTACAAGAATTCTTTTTAGCAGCTATGCCTTCTCCCCTTTCTTTGGTCGCCTTGTCTTGAGACGGATTTTTGTCGCAGATGATGATGATGATGATGAAGACGATAAAAATAGCTAATGGCTGTATTAAAAAAGCATTTTGTATTCAATTTAGTGAACTGAATTGAAATGAAATATTTGGAAATAAACAGGAAAGCAGGAATTCACATGACATATCCTGCCAAGATGTCCTGACTTTATTAGGAGGTGGTGGAGGAGAAGGGGGATAGAGAATATGAAAAAGTTAGAATTACACCAAAATTAGAATTTCATCAAAATAATAAAGATATAGAATAAAATTAAGGGAATCTCGACCCTTGGGTCTCAGATTTTTTTCTATAGAAAAAAATTCTCAGACCCTTGGGTCTCAGATTTTTTTCTACGGAAAAAAATTCTCAGACTCTTGGGTCTTCGATTTTTTTCTATAGAAAAAAATTCACAGACCCTAGGGTCTCAGAGTTTTTTTCTATAGAAAAAAATTCACAGACCCTTGGGTCTTCGATTTTTTTCTATAGAAAAAAATTCACAGACCCTTGGGTCTTCGATTTTTTTCTATAGAAAAAAATTCACAGGCCCTTGGGTCTTCGATTTTTTTCTATAGAAAAAAATTCACAGACCCTTGGGTCTTCGATTTTTTTCTATAGAAAAAAATTCACAGACCCTTGGATCTTCGATTTTTTTCTATAGAAAAAAATTCACAGACCCTTGGGTCTTCGATTTTTTTCTATAGAAAAAAATTCACAGACCCTTGGGTCTTCGATTTTTTTCTATAGAAAAAATTCACAGACCCTTGGGTCTTCGATTTTTTTCTATAGAAAAAAATTCACAGACCCTTGGGTCTTCGATTTTTTTCTATAGAAAAAAATTCACAGACCCTTGGGTCTTCGATTTTTTTCTATAGAAAAAAATTCACAGACCCTTGGGTCTTCGATTTTTTTCTATAGAAAAAAATTCACAGACCCTTGGGTCTTCGATTTTTTTCTATAGAAAAAAATTCACAGACCCTTGGGTCTTCGATTTTTTTTCTATAATAAAAAATTCACGGACACTTGGGTCTCAGATTTTTTATAGAAAAAAATTCTACGACCCTCGGGTCTTCGATTTTTTTCTATAGAAAAAAATTCACAGACCCTTGGGTCTCTCAGATCTTTTTCTATAGAAAAAAAATTCACAGACCCTTGGGTCTCTCAGATCTTTTTCTATAGAAAAAAATTCTCCGACCCTTGGGTCTCTCAGATCTTTTTCTATAGAAAAAAATTCTCCGACCCTTGGGTCTTAGATTTTTTTCTATAGAAAAAATTCACAGACCCTTGGGTCTCAGATTTTTTTTTATAGAAAAAATTCTCCGACCCTTGGGTCTCAGATTTTTTTTCACAGACCCTTGGGTCTTCGATTTTTTTCTATAGAAAAAAATTCACAGACCCTTGGGTCTTCGATTTTTTTCTATAGAAAAAATTCACACTTGGGTCTCAGATTTTTTTCTATAGAAAAAAATTCACAGACACTTGGGTCTCAGATTTTTTATAGAAAAAAATTCACAGACACTTGGGTCTCAGATTTTTTATAGAAAAAAATTCTACGACCCTCGGGTCTTCGATTTTTTTCTATAGAAAAAAATTCACAGACCCTTGGGTCTCTCAGATCTTTTTCTATAGAAAAAAATTATCCGACCCTTGGGTCTCTCAGATCTTTTTCTATAGAAAAAAATTCTCCGACCCTTGGGTCTCAGATTTTTTTCTATAGAAAAAATTCACAGACCCTTGGGTCTCAGATTTTTTTTATAGAAAAAAATTCACAGACCCTTGGGTCTCAGATTTTTTTCTATAGAAAAAAATTCACAGACCCTAGGGTCACAGATTTTTTTCTATAGAAAAAAATTCACAGACCCTAGGGTCACAGATTTTTTTCTATAGAAAAAACTTCACAGACCCTAGGGTCTCAGATTTTTTTCTATAGAAAAAACTTCACAGACCCTAGGGTCTCAGATTTTTTTCTATAGAAAAAACTTCACAGACCCTAGGGTCTCAGATTTTTTTCTATAGAAAAAACTTCACAGACCCTAGGGTCTCAGATTTTTTTCTATAGAAAAAACTTCACAGACCCTAGGGTCTCAGATTTTCAAAATTCACAGGCCCTTGGGTCTTCGATTTTTTTCTATAGAAAAAAATGCACATACCCTTGGGTCTCAGATTTTTTTCTATAGAAAAAAATGCACATACCCTTGGGTCTCAGATTTTTTTCTATAGAAAAAAATGCACATACCCTTGGGTCTCAGATTTTTTTCCATAGAAAAAAATTCACAGACCCTTGGGTCTTCGATTTTTTTTCTATAGAAAAAAATTCACTGACCCTTGGGTCTTCGATTTTTTTTTCTATAGAAAAAAATTCACAGACCCTTGGGTCTTCGATTTTTTTCTATAGGAAAAAATTCACAGACCCTTGGGTCTTCGATTTTTTTCTATAGGAAAAAATTCACAGACCCTTGGGTCTTCGATTTTTTTCTATAGAAAAAATGGCACAGACCCTTGGGTCTCAGATTTTTTTCTATAGAAAAAAATTCACCGACCCTTGGGTCTCAGATTTTTTTCTATAGAAAAAAATTCACCGACCCTTGGGTCTCAGATTAGAAAAAATGCACAGTCCCTCATATTTTTTCTATTAAAAAATTCTCAGACCCTTGGGTTTCATAATAGAAAAAATTCTCAGACCCGTGGGTCCTAAATTTTTTTTAGAGAAAAAAAATTCTCCGAGCCTTGTGTCCTAGATATTTTTTAGAGAAAAAAATTCTCCGAGCCTTGGGTCTTCGATTTTTTTCAATAGAAAAAAATTCACAGATACTTGAATCTTCGATTTTTATACCCTCAGCCATATGGCTACAGAAGGTATATATCATTTGATACGGCCAAAACGTGCCTAGTCGAAATAACGGTTTTAGACCCTAAGTCTCTTTGGACCTAATCCGTTTCAGAACATTTGGAGTCGATCTATCTGTCTGGCTGGCTGGTGCGCACGATAACTCTCGAAGGGTGTATCCGATCTGGTCCAAATTGGGTACATCGTAATATTTTTGTCAAACTTAGATCGAGTTCGGAGATGGGCAAGATCGGTCCACTCCTTCTAGTACCTCCCCCACAAAAGATCGAAATTTTCAAAAAATATATTTTTTGCACAGAAAGAGAAAGGATAATCCGATTTTGCTCCAACTTTGCATATCCTAATATTCGAGTCAGCGCTAGGTCAGGTGTGAAAATCGACATTATCGGTCCACTCCATCAAGTACCTCCCCCACAAATGGTCAAAATTTTGAATAATTACAACTATAATAAAATGTGATGTAAAAGTCCGATTGTCTTCAAATTTCACACATCCCAATATTTATATTAACCCAAGGTCTGGTGTTGAGATGAACAATACCGGTTCACTCCTTTTGGTACCTCCCCCACAAAATGTCGAAATTTTCAAAAAAAAAAATATATTTTTTGCACAGAAAGAGAAAGGATAATCCGATTTGGCTCCAACTTTGTATATCCTAATATTCGCGTCAGCGCTAGGTCAGGTGTGAAAATCGACATTATCAGTCCACTCCATCAAGTACCTCCCCCACAAATGGTCAAAATTTTGAATAATTACAACTATCATAAAATGTGATGTAAGAGTCCGATTGTCTTCAAATTTCACACATCCTAATATTTGTATTTACCCAAGGTCTGGTGGGAAGGAGGAATACATCGGTCCACTCCTTCTGGTACCTCCCCCACAAAATATTGAAATTTTGAGTACCCAGGAAGCTAATAAAACGCCAAATTAACATCCGATTCCATTTAGACTTGGCACATCTGTCGCAATAATTATATCATGTTTTTGGGTCCGATAGGAAATGGGCAATATTGGCCCATTCCTTCGGGACCTGCTCCATGGAGGGTCAAACGTTTGAATAATCTTAACACTAGTCAAAATATATTTAAATAATCGAATATAGGCTGAGGGTATATATCGGGTGGCAATACCGACTGATACTTTTTAACTTGTTTTCTATAGAAAAAAATTCACAGACCTTTGGGTCTTCGTTAGAAAAAAATTCACATACAATTGGATCTTCAAAACTCAATGCTTAGAATTTTTCCATAAGAAAATATTGTAAAAATTTAGGTCTAAGATTTTTTTTTGATAGGCAGATTCTTAGATTCTAGGCTCCGGAAAAATTCTCG